GTAGCTAAGGATTTTTCGATAAATGGAATTTATTGATGAAAGTCTTACCCTAGAAAAATTCAGAATTTTGAATTATACTCAACATTTTGAAAAAATTATGAAAATCTGAAATATTCAGTTATTCCAGAAAACATAAAATATTCAGAGCACGTATATCTATAAAGTAATATAAAAAATTCGATTTTAAAAATAAATTTAGTTGTGTGGTATTGTTACTGTGGTCTGTGAGTTATGTCATTGCATTATTATTTATTAAAGATAATGTGATATAATTATTATAGAAAATATGTGAAAAGAAGGGTATATTTCAAAAATTTCATTTTTGCATTAGACTATAATAAAAGTCAACTTGAATGAATTTTCCCTGTGTAATCAGAATTTTTTATGACAATCCATAAATTTCAGATTCTATCATTTAATTAAATATAGATTTACGTCTATCATTTAATTAAATGTAGATTTACGAACACCAATTTTATTCACAGAAAATCATACATCGTTTTTTCGCGAGTAAAAGGAAAAAACAGTTTTAATAAAAAAAATTTTATCATAATCAAATTCTCGCCACACTCTTAACGTCGTGCTTTAAACATTAAATAAAACAAACTATTCTAATAATTATAAAATAAAGTCATTAATAGAATGATTTCAAACTAATCAAATTGATCTGAAATTTCTGGTTTCATTAAACGAATTACAAATTTAATATTTTTATAAAATATTCTTATTTTTGTTTTGTTGAAAGAAAAAAAAAATAAAAGCATGCGGATATTGCTTCGTTGTTTATAAGGTGACGAGTAGATCACTGTAATAAGTTTGTTAAATTCAAATTCGATGATACACCATTGAAGGTATATGAAAAACGATTCTGAGTAGGGACGGTCTATCGGCCTATGTAATTTCCTTAGTGATAAAGTATATTTCATAATATTTTTTGATATAGCTATTAAAGTAATAGTGTAAATAAGTATTCATACTATAAATAGGTAATATCTTAGAGTTAATCAATATATTTTAAAAATGTCATTGGATAAATTAAAATTCATTATATACGTAAAAGTTTAAGTCCCCACGATGTTCCAGTATGAACTACTTATGCAGAATATTTATTTTTAAACCTTAGTAATAAAAATTAATGATTTTATAAATAATTATTTACAACAAAATTCTTGTAATTTGTAATTTTTATGATTTTAATGAATTTTGTAAAAATTTGCACTTAAAACGATCTATAATTTTTAAAACGATAATCGATACAGACATATATATATATATATACAGTGGTTATTCATTATTATTTATTATTAATAAATTATTTTGAAGTTATTAATTTTAACTTATTATAAATTATGTTATCCACATTTTGTTTTCTTTCTGTAAATAAAATTTAAATGTTAAATTAAATTGTTGAAAAGGCTAACGAGTATTTCAGGTTAAATTACGTAGGTACTACCTATCTAAAAACATTTTACACTATACAGCTTATAAACTCATGTGTTTTGTTATAAAGATAATTGTGGTAAAAACAATATTTACTTATCATACTTAAAGGTACTTAATGAGTTTTTTCCAAATAATAAAATATAACCATAATATTAAGCATATTAAAGATTTAAACTTTACTATTACTTTTAGTTCAGTCAACAATCTTATTATCTAGCTATGTAAAGCATAGACATTAAAGAGGATACATTTTACATGGTAGTGTATAAATTACATCACTTACTCGTACATAGTTACATACTATATATTTTGATTTCATCAGTTTTTTTTTAAGAGCATCATATTGTTGAAGTTGAATAGAGTACTATCGTACTGATGTCTAATGGTAAATAAAAAAGCACGATTTAAGATCAATGGCTATGATGGTTTCTAATATTTTAATATTATTTAAAAACATACAATTTTTAAGTAAACGAGATAAAAAAATTTCAGTTTTCAATTAGTACCTACTTATATATTAACTCTGTATCTGCTGATGTATTTCTAAATTACAAGTAGTAGTAGTAGTAGTATTATCTATATTTTTAGTACTCGTGTTTTAATACTTAAAATTAATGTAATAGTTCATTAGTGCTATAGAGTTAGTAGTTGGTATATATAAGCCATATGACTATAAACAATTTACTGTATAATACATTACAGTATTACATATTCATGTATTAAAAATTTTCAATGTAAGTAACGCTTAAATTATCATTAAATTATTTCTGTGTAGTGCATGAATGCGGACACATTTGATTAACTAGGTATGCATTAATAATTAATTTTTCATTCGTACAATCTACATCTAAATTCTATAAATATATATAGGTATAACATAAGTACATTACACGTACGTAAATTAATTTTACTCTATTGAAAAATTAAATTATGGGTAGGTATACTGTTTACTGTCAACACAAAATACCAATACATTGTTATTATTGCCTTAACATTATAATTATAATTATTGCATTGATTACGGTTTGACTTATTTGGAACCAATATAAAATATATTGAGACTTGCGATTCTTTAAAAAATATTATACCTAGGTATTTAATTTAATAACTATATATATATTATATATATATAATATATATACTCTACACGCACTGTAATTATACTTAATAATTTTATACTTTAGATCAACCCGTTGGGCGTAGCTATATGATAGGTTTAATAATATAGTTTGTATTTATGCGTAAAATATCTACTACCTATTTTATAAAATATATATCGATATGTTAAACTGTAACATAATATAAATAGCAGATTGTAGACATTTATATAATATTAAGACCATTAAAATTCAACATAATTTTTCAGAACATAGGTAATAATTAAATATAAATAATATAACAATATATATTTTATATACATATTAATTTAGTCGTAATATATCAGTGTTTATAGTATTGGTATTCGAAGTATTTTCACAACCTTCGGTTTAAACGTAATAAAATAATATTTTATTAATAAAGATGTTTTTATAATTTTCAAACAATCTTAGTGGTAAGGTATACATAACTTTAATTAATATATAATATTTTATATTTAGGCAGACAAGTATAACATACCTGAACCCTCGTTCACGAGAACAAGTCCCGAACGAATACGAAAGTATAATAATTATACAGTATAATAGCCGTTAGGGTAGTAGGGTACATATCTTACATATATTCACTTATATGCATGGTTTATTTCTCGTAAATGTAACGGTACAATAAAAGTGACTTCGATTATATAATATAAATATACCAACAATAATACAAAAAACTGCCATGAAATATATAATATTTATGATCTATTTGTGTGTGATGTGTAATAAATTGATATGTATAGGTTCCTACGCATTCTACTTTAACTTTAAAACTTAAAAAAATATATGATAATGAATAATAATTTAAGAATCCAAATAATTATGGACAAATTGAAAATTATAATTATTTAACTTTTAAAAAATTAAGTGCATTCGTCGTATGCATGATATAATTATCTATAATATTATACTAAAATACTTAAAATAATACAACTATACATTATAATGAATGATACAAGATACAATGAATAAATAATAATTTGATATACAATATGTAATAACGCTTTGTAAATAATATATAATAAACAATGTTTATTAAACATTCTGATCGAATATACAGTACCTGATGTGATACAAACATACGAGTACAATATGCTGATTCAGTAGGTACTGAACATATATTTCAAACGATTTACAGCCCCGTATCGACTGTATCTAAAAGCGGCTGACTCCAGCGTGTAATATAATTATTAATTTATAGTCTGTAAAGCAGCATTCGCGTCGTTATTACAGTACCTAATCCACGAATAATAGTTATACGCACATCAAGCACGTAGACGAGAAAAGGTCAGAGGATTATAAAATCATAAAGTCATAATCAATATAATTTACAAATGGAAAGTCATGATATAAGTAAAAAAATGTTTAGATATAACCATATACCTACCTAAAATAAAGAATAAATAAAAATCAATTGCAACCAATGCAAAAGCCATCTCGGGATCAAACATATTGTTCAAAATGTCCTAAATTGGCTAAATTTCTCCATGTCGACTATCAAGACACAAATTATTATTTAACAATCCGTCCAAAATGAAAGAAGCACTTAGGAAACACACTCATCCACATAATTTATTTGTAATATTGAGATTTTCGTTACATCGGGATTCATTATATCACGAGTCGACTGTATAAGGTGATTTAAATGCTTAAATTTTTTTAATTTTCATTATTACAATGATTTTTCAAACTTCAATTAAATGACTTAAATGTTAATATGAAAGTTTCAATAATGTCTGTTATTTTTTTTAATAATTTTACTTTTAATTGTATTTACGTTCATAGACGCAAATAAAAGATTAAAAATGCATAATAATAAAGCATGAAAATATGAAAAATAAAAAATAATCGTTCCCACATTAGTCAATAGTCTTAGATTTACATTATAGCTCGTAAAAGTGTATATGGAGCTACTTTTTAAATTCATAATAAATTATTAAAATATGCAACAGTTCTGGATTCTAATTATTACGGTATTTAAATATAAGATAGTTGACCGTAAATAGAGTCTTGGCGAGCATTCGAGGAAAAGACGTTAGTATTATTATAAGTTTATTGTAACTTATAAACATAACGGCCACACGGCACACATACGTGTGATTATATATCTATAAGTAATACAATTACGTATACTCGCGTTATTTTACTAAAACTGTTGAAAATTATTGTTCCGGGGGATGATGTTGGAGTCGGGCTATAACGGATAGGTGCAGGCGTTGGTCCGCCGTTGCGGTGGGGGGCGGAGAAAAAAAACTCGAAACAAAACGAAGAGCGAATAGAATCGTATAACGAATAATATATATTTATAATGACCGCGCGCACGTTGTAAAAGATAGAAGATCTATCTATTATGATACAATTATTATTATTATTATTATTATTATTATCATCATCGCCGTTACCTAACACACGTGTAGGATGACCATATGCCGTCTGCCGGCACGCGCTTCCGCGTCAATGAGTGTTCGGGGCTCGTGCCGTCAACTGCCGGTGCCGTCTGCTTAAGTGCCCAATAATAATAACAATAGTAATAATAATACATAGTGCCGTTGGTGCGGTCTGCGATCGCATTTCGCCCGCGAGTTTTTTTCACACATATTAAATCGTTTAAGTTTATAATATTATAATATATCCACGGCTGTAGATTGATCGTTCATAATATTATAATATGCACTATACTGTCGCGTTTGTATAAATATACTTACATGAGTAATAAATATAGATCGCTGGCTTAGATTGTAACATACTACATACGTACGGGTAGAACACCGCCAACGCCTTATCAACGCAGGTAAGAATATATTATATTGTGATTTTTGTTACTTGATGTACTGTAAGTAGGTAAACCTAACCGAACATTTTTAATTTAAATTCAAAATCAGTTGAATTGTTGATAAAAACGCGTATTTATTTTATTCTTTTTCAAATGATCGATTTTAACGACTATAATTCCAATTTATTAATCGTAAATGTAAATCTGTATTATGCAGATGAATTTTTCCGTTTTTAAGTTTGGTAACGGTATATCTGTGGAGTTTGGTACTTTGTGTACTTGCTAAAATACAAAATAACATATTTCAAACTTTAAGAGGATATTTATGGATTATAATAAGGTGTAATAAAAATCAATTATTTTGATTTACTTTAATCAAAATTTGAACGAGTAATTTCTCAGATATTAAAATGTTTATACTAAGGATAATAGTCCTTAAAAATAATTTAAAAAACAAATATAATATCTGTTATATTGAAATTAGTAAGTATTTAGAACAAAAAAAAAAAATAATACAAAATACAAAATACAAAATAGATAAGAAGTTTTTCATTTGAAAAATGCATTTCCGTAAGATACTTTTAAGTAGTATAAAGCAATCACAAGAATTAAAAAACATGATCTTAAAATTAAAGCATATTTAAAAATTACAAAATAAGATATAAAATAAAAATATTATTGAAGAAAAATTAAGAGGCATTTGGTGAATTATTCTACATAATTTTTTGAATTATTTATAATCTAATTTATAAGATATTCTTAACTATGATAATATATAAATTAATAAACATTAATACTTAATTAAAACTCCCAATTTTCATACCACATGTTTCTAATTATTATTAAATAACTGAAAAATTATTTTATGTATTTATAGGATTAGTATATTATGCAAAATTTAAATACGAGTAGGTACTTGAAAAGATATGCGTGAAATCATTGTATATATTTTATATAATACTCCATATTAACGTGTAAAAACATTACAAATTAATGGTTAAACGATAGGTATACGATTTAATAGGTTTAATTTATATAGATTATCATTTATCAGTACCTATTGTGGGTACTTATAGTAAAGTACCTATTGTATATTCTTATTTATTAATATTATTACTAAGCCAGTAATCTGTAAGCAATATGTTTATTAAATTTGTTAACAATATTTTTCAATTTATGATTATAGGCACTATTAAATATTATAAAAAAATTATTATAAGAGTAATTTCCTATCTAATATAAGAGAACTTTATACTGATAATTCTAAAGTATGTCCATAAGCAAAAAAATAACGATACAGCATTAAAAGTTAAAATGTTTAAGATAGTGATTATGTAAAAATATTGTGATACACGTATTAGTAATTATTCCTACCTAGAAAATATACGTTTAGCATAAAACAAAATTTAATTAATATCTACTTATTTATTTTTGTTATTTTAAATATGAATTTTTAGAGTAAACGGCATTATCTGTGTTCTTTCGATGGTACTTTTTGATACTAACCTAACCTAACTTAGTATAGGTATATATAAATATATTGTAATAATTTAAAATATAGAAATAGATCGTCAGAAGAAAATAAAATACATATAATGTTCTTATTTGTTCGATAAATACATTTATTTACCTCAATAATAAACTATATTGAATCCATATTATTATAGAAGTTATAAGATATTACTTGTGTTACATATAGATTATAGCCTAGGTCCTATAGGAACTAAAAACCGTTACAACTCACAAAGTATGAAAGTGGAAAATGATAATATTCTTTTATTTGTATGTTTTGACGATATATTTTTTTTTTTACATAAAAATAAATATGTTGACTTTACCGATGGTAAACTCAATTATTTTTAGTTTGAGTACCCAGAAAGTCACTCAGAACAACTTTGCTGGCAACAACTGTTTTGTCTTACATAAACGACATCTCACTGGTTGATAAATGACATATCGTGATACAAACTTAAAACATAACAATTTGCAGATTATATACTAAAAATCGACATCACAGAAGAAGCATTATTTCCACCAAAAGTATAGACTCAAAGCAGCGCTGAATTAAATTTAACTGCTAATACAAGCGCGAGTTATTAAATTTATCCGTTTAGAATTGAGAACACGCGTCCAAATATAAACCATTTTTAATAGCTCTGTCTATTAAAAATTCAAACATCTACTTAGATACATTAAACCTAATAATCCCAGAAATTTCCAACCAAAAACACCATCATTTTGTTATTCAAGATAAAAAATATTATCATGATGCAATTCGCGTGTCTAAGCTGTATCTATCTATTTATCATAAATCTCTATTAATTTAAATTAAAATTAATTTTTATTTAATTTTAACTAATACTATTATTAATCATCATAAAAATATTTTTGATTAGTAAAATAAATAAAAATTAAACATGATATGGGAGTTGATATTTTTCAGATAAGAAAAGAAAGTATTTACCAATAGAATTTGCATGTAAATTTTTTTTTCAAAAACACGGTAATCGGTGTAATTTACCACCAATAGCGAATATTACTTTTTATTTATATTTAGAAAAATTATCTTTATTACAGTATTATGTAAGTAAATGGTATATATGCTGCATATAGGTTATAGGTAGGTTATAGAAAATTAGGAAGTACCTACACGTAGCTAATTGATGTGCAATGTGTTATAATATAATATATTAATATGTACTTGAATAAAATTAGGGGTACTCACTACTTACTATAATAAGTAATTTTAAGTTACTTGTAAATTACTTAGTAATAGCAGAAATCTATAAATCTTCAATTAATGTTTAATGAATAAGCTAGGTACAAAAATCTAACTATAAAACCACTTAATAATAACGTTATTTTTTTGTTTAAATATTTTGTTTTATTAACATTTTGAATAATTGATTCGATACACTGAGTCAAGCGGATCGTAATATAATTAATATTCATATAAATTACAAATTCTATTAAAAATATAGGTTTAGTAGAATTCATTTTTTGAGTTATTTAAGTAACGAGTTAGAACAAATTCTTTATAAGTTTTTAACATTGTAAAAGGCAGCTATCAACGTAATTAATATAAGTATTTAAATAACCGACGTTTAAAAAAAAAAAATTCGAAATTGAACTTGTGTCGGCACGTACTATATAGTATTGCAGACGTGGCGTAGGTATTACTTTGTATGTTACAGATACGCACACAAGCGGGGTTTAGGGGTTTATCCCCTCCCCCAATATTTCTTTTTGTGTACGCGTCCGGTACATTAAATGGCGTTTAGCTGTTCCTAGTCTCCTCGATTGCAGTAGCGGTTTCAGGGCATCACCCCCCTTGGCAGTTATTATATTTATAAAACTTATCATAAAATCCTAAATTATGTTAACAATAAACTAATACGAAAAATGTTGTCTTCTCCTGAAAAAAATCCCAGATCCCCACCGCTTGACCGTATACATAGGTAACATATTTCTTTATAACTATACTCGTATAATCAAATTATGTTCAGCAGGACAACACCAATCTATATATAACTAACGATTAAATCATCAAATATAATGTAGGTGTACAGCAATAGCGGTGAATGGTGGCCGAATGACCTGGCCCGCGACTATGGACATGGTTCAGTATCGTCATCATCAGCACCAGCAGCACCAGCACCAGTCATTCGACACGCACCAGGGGCATCTGGCTGCGGGGGCGGTGGACTACGTACACGGTTGCGGCGGCCCGAAAAATTCGAACGGAAACTGCGAATCGCCATCGCAACACGGCGCCTACTGGCAGTGGCAACACTCGTCGGACGGTTCGTCGTCCGAGGGGTTCAATCACGGGCAGCGTGCGTTCTTCGACGACTCCGCGGACCGCGGCTACTGGGACGCGACTGCGAGCTGCGGAAGTCCGCCACCGGCATCGACCCGACTACCGCGGCTGGATGGCGAATGCTCGTTCACCGGTCATCTGCAGCTTCTGCAGCCACTTCCGTCCCAGCGCAGTGACCGATGGAATCGTTCCTATTTCAGGTATCCACCTATCCCACCCACATCTATCTCTTTATTTACGTACGATATTATATAATATGATTAATGTATGGGTACATAGCAATCATGGATTGTAATAGAATCGCTCACCCTATATAGTGAATAAGGCTTATAGGTTATATATAGATAGGTACGTACTATGCTATAATAGGTAACTATAAAAAAAAAAAAAAAACATACCCGCGGAAAACGATGGCATTACAAATATTTCATCCGTAAGAGCAAATATTAAAACTACCCACTCACGACTCGCCTACGTATTAGATTAAAATCTGTTTATAGTATACGTATAGGTATTTTTTCTGTTATAAAATAAATATTAATATCATTTCATAATATAAATTAATTAATGTAGGTAACCTATAACTTCCGTCTTCTAATAATAATAAGTATCGAACGCCAAAAATGAAAAAAACCAATCTCGCCTCCCTTGAATAAATGAAACATTTTTCATAACAACATTAATACTTAATTTGTCTCCCTTGTTAAGTGCTCGTGACTCCCGTGAAAGGCACATATCATGGACCAGTAACCGCTGCTTGGTAAATTAGGTCCATTGTAATTTGTTTACATTTTGAAAGTGGTAAATTGAGTCCTTTGAAAAAAAAGTAGGTCTCGTTTCTACTTTTGATTATTTTATATTAAATAATATATGTTTATCTTCCTATATCATATTATTACCAGGAAAATACGCGAAATTGAACTCGATAATTAATTTAATTTAATTACAATAGTAAATATTTATTTTTGACTTATTAATTTATACAATGTATACCATAATTATTATATATACCTATTATTGATTTGCTTTCTAATAAACCTTATTACTTATTAGATACTAAAAAATAATATACATTTATCATATATGATTTATTTTTTTCTGGGATTCGATTTACTTACAATTTTTTTTCCAAAACTCAACTTGCCTATTAACATTGTTTTTCTAGGACCTAAATTAGCAATCTAGAGCTGACTCTATACATTATAAATATAACCTTCTCAGTTCCTTCATTACTTAAAATTTATTAGGTTTCATTTTAATTTCAAAGATAACTAAAAAAATTATTCATATTTATTCTTAAAACGCATTAAGATAAATTTTTGAGGAACCTAAACCGAAAATACATTTATAATTCCTCGATATTAAAATTGAATGCATTTTCAATCACGAAATAATTTGAAAATTTAGTTAACATTTGAACTGCAATTGTTTATAAAAAAAAAACTGCGCCTAATATTTTAGTTGCCAAAAGACAACTTGTGATCTAGGTAACTATATTTTCAAGAATTTTTTTGAATTTACTTAAATGAAAAATTATATCCAATTTGATATCAAAAAGACAAATTAATTTATAATTGAAGATTGAAGCATTGTTATTGTTCAAAAAAATAGTTTCTTTTTTCAAATTATAAAATATCTATCATCATATGTTAGTAGTATTATACTATTATACAATACTTTAACTAGATAACACGTACCAAAACATGGGTTGTTTAAAATTCTAAACTTAATTTTATTCTTTTAATGTTTTAATTAAACATTTTTTTTTTTTGATATGATATAGTTTATATAATTAAAAAATATATAAGAAAGTATTAAAATTTATAACCAATAACTATTTCTGCATTACACAACTAATCAATCTATACTAGAGTGTTGTCTGCATAATTCATTGTACCTTTTATTTATAGTAGACGATCAAATGACTACATACCAACAAAGTCTAACAGCAAAGAATGTGTATCGCCAACGATTGCAAGAAAGAGACGTTTAGCAGCTAATGCAAGGGAACGTCGACGCATGAATGGCTTGAATGAAGCATTTGATAGACTCCGCGAGGCCATACCAACTTCTATAGAAGATGAACATAAATTATCAAAATATGAGACACTACAAATGGCTCAAAGTTACATATCAGCATTATGTAACTTATTGGATCAGGCTCATAAATAAAATATAATTAATTAGTCAACTGTCAATTTTTTTTACACATAAAATGTTTTCTAGTCACATAAATTTTTCTTCTCTTTATTATGTCTATTTAATAAAAATAATAACGAAAAAGCAATTAAATACAATTAACTTTTATTTGTTTCATTACTGCACACCTAAATAAAAAATAATATGTGGTACAAGACAAAAAAAAGTGTTACTTCAGTAAAATTATCAACATAAAAACTGAAATTCTGTTTAAACAAAATTATTTTATTTGAAGTTTAGCCATGTTACGTTACATTAAATTGTATACCTTACTGGTAGAGAGAACAGTAAAAAAAAAGAATAAATTTAAAAATTAAAATATATATTTTTTTAACATATATATTATAAACATTAATCAATATATTGTGCCAGCCATCTGAACCCTTCTCCATAACCATGGCGTTTTAATACGGAACACATGAATACTTCTAAAGGACGACCCGGAAGATCTGATCTAGGTACTCTAGCCTAAAAATAAATCAATATTAGTTAATATAGAATTAAATTGCAACAGATTATAATAAATTATGTTACCAAAGTAACACAATCTACTGTTAATTTATATCTTTTGCATAAAGTACTGAATTAATTAATTAATAATATATAAACTATCTCAATCAACATAATATTTAAATATTGAGTGAAACACCTTTTACTATATTATTCTACTACTTATACAAGAGAATTTTCTAACTTAATACATAATGTCTTGTCAAAATGTTTACATCATATAGTTTTTGATGTGATATTTTAATTATAATTCTCAAGTTCTTGTTAAATCTAATAATATACAATATTTGTTTTACAGCATGTAAATTTTCTAAGCTTTTAATTGATTAGAAAGAGATAAAAATAATAAGGCGGTGACACGTTGACAGAAACTTAATTGTTAGTGACATGTTAATATAAATAGTTCTATTAAGAATCACATAAACCATTATAAAACTTGCAGGGGTAAAAAGTGAAAAAAAAAATGTTTACCAAAATTAAAATTTTAAGAAATAAATAAACAAAAGTAATTAAGTTTATAAATAATTTACACATCCAACATATTTGTATACACAAATAAAATTATGCAATTACTAAGAGTTAAATTTTTGAAAACCATTTTAATGTATAAGCATAATAATAAAAAGTTACAAAAAAATTAATAGGTTCATAATATTATGGTTTACATACTTTTCCAGTTGTTTGGTTCAATGCAAAATAATTTCTTAGTTCTGCTTCATTCAATGCACCTTGTCTATCAATTTTGTTACCAAGAACAAGTACGGGGCAATTGGATAAGGATTCATCAAGTAATAATGAATCTAACTCATTTTTACTTTCCATAATTCTAGATTTGTCACAAGCGTCTACCAAAAATACAATTGCGTCTACAGCAGGGAAATAATCTTTCCATACTTTTCTTGCTTGTGAATGGCCACCCAAATCAAATGTTGTAAATTTTATGTTTCCAACAGACAATTCCTCAGAAGCTATAAAATAAATTATCAAATATTAAATTACCAAAGTACAAAAGTATAAAACATTTATATTTTTATAATAAGTTCAATATTCATACTTGGATGCAATGTTGGAGTGTGTTGTGCCAAACGATCATCTTTCAACATATGTAAAAGAGTAGTTTTTCCAGCATTATCTAAACCAAGGAATAGTAATTTTCCTGATTTTTTCCACAACCCTATGAAATTAAAGTATTATAGTTGATTAAATTTAATGTAAATAAGTGAATGTAAAATATAATAATATATACAGTATACACGTATAATTAAAATTATTTGTTTTGTGTTCATATTATTCAAAAATAGTAAGGGTTGGATATTAATGTATAATATATTATATAATAAATAAATAAACAATCATATTTACACGGATAAAAGTTAAGTATATTTTAATCAATTAAAAATATTAAAACATTTTCATTATCTAATCAATAATTACATCACAAACAATGATTAATAGCTAATAAAATATTACTCACCTAAATATCCTAAGACGCCAGTAACCCAATCCCAAAGAAACATTTTTTGATGAAATTATCTGTAACACATAATAGAGGTAATAATATTATTTAAATATGTTCTAATGTTCTATTTAAGATTAACTTTTAATAAACCATCTCAATAATGTATAACTATGGAAAAATTAAATTAAATAATAACTGTTACTTTATAGAATACATAAAATATATCATATTTTTTTTTAAATAAAAATAAAAATAGATATTGTATATATACAGTAGGGTCTCATTAATCAGAATGAGATTGGGGAAAGGGATCATTCAGATTAATGATGTATTTAAATTACTTATGACTTAAAAAAAAAATCAATTTCCTTGCAATTTAAATTTTGAAATAAATCTTTATCTATACTGCAGTATTAATTCATAAAATTTGTTGTTGAAAAATACAATGAATACAATCAAAATCAATATAATTATGTACACATAGCCAGCTAAAATATTTATAATATATTGCATATTATTACGAATTATGATACGTCATGTGTGTATTAGTATAGCAATATGGCTATTTCCAAGCTAATTCGGATTACCGCATCTTACAGATTAATCAGTGTTTGAATTAATGAGACTCTACTGTATAAATACTATAAATATCATATAAATATAAATGTAGGTATATTATTACATAAAGGATATAATTGTATTTATAACTACTTTATCTTAGCAAAAAAGGTATGTTAATATAACCAATTTTTAATTTACAAACATATTATACTATAGGTACATAATAAGGAAATGTTATAAAAAATTTATCATATTTTATTTGTATTTTCTATAACATATCTAAAAATAAGAATTAAATAAAAAATTGATGACTTAATACTGTATAAATTAATTATAATGAAAAAAAATATCTTAACTCAAAAATATAAGAATAAGTTTTTAATTTAAAATTTAAAAAAATAAATAAGTAGGTAAGTATCAAAAAAAATTAGTTAACACAAATTATTAATTATTATTTAAAAACTTTTAAGAGCAGTTTTGATTACTGTAATATAACTTGTTAAAGAAATAAATAAAAAAATATTCATGATTTAATCACAGCATTTTGTATTCATACCATCAAGGACAAATATACTATCATAATCATTAAGTAGGTTAGCATAGAAAATAGTAAATACTAATATATTATGCCAGATGTAGATGATTTATTACACAATATAAAAAGATAAAATGTATCTTCGATTTCATTATTTGTATTAATAATACTGAAATTCTTCCAAAATTGAATTAAAAAATAGTAACAGCAGACATTTTTTATTTTTATAAAGTATGAGCTAGCTAAACACTATTATTAACTCCTAGAATAATGAATATTGAGGGGGGGGGGGGTAAAATCAATGGTAAATTCTATAAATAACTAAAAAAAAAAAAAAAATTAAAACATATTAAAAGGAATTAAAGGTATAACTACAATTTTTATGATAAAAAAAATACGCAAATAAAATTATAATCATTAGTGAACATCTAAAAGTATCCATGTTTTATATCAAAATGTATTTTAAAAATATAGAATATGATATCACCTACTTAATTAAGACAATGTTTACTCATAAATTCAAATTCAAATTTTATATTTTACATTTAACAAAAATATTTTGATAATTTTAGAATATAAAACCTAACTTATGTTAGTATTAAAATTTTGATAAAAATGTTAAACATCTAAAGTAAGTTTTAAATTAAATAGGTTGTACATTATTTTCTTTTTTATAAAAATATAACAATTCTTTTTTCTCTGAGTAAGAGAGATTTCAAAATTTATATGTACTGAATAAATAGGAGAATAAATTATAGGTTTATTTAGTTTATTTATTTTATTAATTGTATTATTTGAATTATCTATTATTATATGAAGGAAATTTTTCTAATTATTTCATTAACATAATACTCGACATAATACAATTTTAATTATACTTTTATTATTTTAAAAATGTAATATTAAGTTAAAAATTCATCATAAAATGTAATTGCTATTCTGTGCTGATTGAAACATTTCATATATGTAAATCAAAGTATATAATATTGTTATGCTAATAATTTCAGTTTAAATTATCTACTATTAAATTTATTGGTTCCGCAAGTTAAGTATTAACATATCAATTCATAGTTACACATCTTTTAATTAATAAAATATGTAATATTACAATACAAAAATTGAAATTTTAATTTAAAAAAAATCATTTCATAACATTATAAATCATATTTTTTAAAGTTTGTAACGAAAGATCTTAATTTATAACATATAATAAAATATAAATGTATGATTAGAATTTGTTTTTCCTTAAAATTTATAGATTTGAATGCCTATAAAAGTTAGATATTTGAATAAAATATTAATATACTATATTCATGAAGTAAAATATTAGTTTAATTTATTTAATATATCATGAAAATATTGAAAGTACTACTAATATTTATTTTAAAAGCACTTAAGTTTGAAAATTATTTTATTTATAGTACACATAGAACATTTTTAAAACTATGATAATAATTTTCTATTATTTTAAAATTGATATTAATAATAATAGAATACTCTAAAGGTAAATTAACAAAGAAAGTTACCTAATCTATATAAATCAATAATTAATAATTGTATACACTATATTAATCTATAGTCCCAGAAAAATATCCTTAATTTTTCTTCTAAATTAATTTCATTTCATATATAATAGTTGGTTTTAATTTTACTTATATTATTCTTAATAATTATTGTTTTAGGTAGGTAAGTGTAAGAGTTATAAAATTTAAATTTGAATTTTGCAATGACGTCATTAAAAATTGTTTTTAATTTTACGCAATCATACATTACGGAGTAATACTGATTTCAGGAAACGTAATATTAAATGATTTTTGTGTACCTATTTAATACAGACACACTATACAAATGCAATACTTAAGATAAATGCAAACTTAAACTTTTCGTAAAACAACCAATCAAATTATGACCAAAGGTCTTTAATTACAATAAATAAGGTTTACATACCTTTAATATAAGT